TATTTCTGTGGGTAAATCCCTAAAACAAAAGAGAATTTGGAAGCCTGTGAGAGGATATTTTGTCGATACAATCGCCTTTTTACTTAGGTGAGCATGATATGCAAGTTGTAGTTTCTAAATGGTGGATCCTTTATTGAATTTGATCAGCTTAGCTTAATTTCATTTCTCTACTCACCATGTTTATAATTTTGTCAGAGAAAATCTGATTCTGGAAAAGTTTACAATGTATGCAGACGTCTGACTTTATCAATTTGAACAAAAATTATAGGTTCAATTTGAAAATAAAGCTCATAAGATTTTCGATAAACTCGTAAATTGACTTAGCCTTGATCAGAAAATATACATGGCTCAAAGAAATATTTGTATCGTAAGCCGAAACGGTTATATATAAATATGAAAGATGTTTATAACAAAGTTGCACATTAAGTAACAAATAGTTGACTGTTATATGGAGAATGCTACATGAAAGTTCCTTCTCAGGTAGTTATCATAAGAGGAGTTAACACACTTTCCAAGTATTTTTCTGCACGAAGAGCTCTGACACAGTAAATAAATTTATAAATCCGACTACTTTAATGAAAATAATTCAGGACACTAGTCCCTAATAGGATATTATAGTAAATAATCTTCAGTAAACAAAAGTCGGATAGACATAGACAGAATTAGTTCAAACACTTAAAGTACCATAGTTACCAATCACCCGATTAGTGACATACATTTGCAACTAGTACAGGACCTGAATAAAAATATGACCATACATAAATCTTCAGAAGGACTGAAGAGATATAGTATTTTTATCGCGGTTACTAAAAGTACTAGATTTACACGTCATTGTACAATCTAAGAAGATACGGTTACTGAGTACCTGAATTTTTGTAGTCAGGATTATCGTGCCTTCACTGAACTTAAGCCATCATGTGTTTATGTAAAACATCAGACAAGCTAATAGAGACCACTCTACCTAGGGCGTTTTCGAATTTCTGTGAATCATGAATGAAGAAATGTCACCAAACTGTCAAGGTTATAACTATAGAAAATCATGATATTCTTTTATACTGAACCAATCATATCATTTTATTGGTTGAACAACCTGTTAGGCGGCTGTTATATGTATGGTTTTTGAATGATTTATGAATTAGGAAGAACACTTCTAGAAGTTTTGGTACGGACCCTTCTCATTTAATCCAGAAAGAAAGTGATTTCTCTGAGTAAGAAACGGTTCTATTATTAATCAAAAATTACAGATAATTACCTAAGCAATAGTGAACTGTTTTCCGTCAAAAATAACACAATGTGTATCCAATTCTGAAAGAATGCTTCCGTTTAGGTCCAAAATTGCACCCTTCCAGTTGAGACGTACTTTTCACCCACCAGGGTATCAAATCCAATATGGCTGAAGACATAATTTAGTATCAATTTAAACAACATAATACAGTTCAGTAGAAAACATAGAAACTCCAATAAAGGTACAAAAAATAGAAACTATAACAAAATACAAATAATAACATCCCAAAATGGGATTAAACAGAGTACCAAAATGTAGCACAGAAAGAGCTAGTAAGAACATATTACAAATATATACATGGAGGGATTTTCCCAAAACAAAGCCTTCAAAACGGATTTTACATTATAGAATAGATGGAATGTGGCTAGCAGTGGAATCCACTACATTCGTTTCGGTTTACTTAGGAACTTGCTAGCTGGATGAAACGACATTCCACAATTCATGCTCACCTCGAGACTTAAACTTTCTGTTGTTTTCTCCAAAGCCAATAGCATTTTCAGGACAACCGCTTGCTTTTAAATTGAGAACGAAATTAAACTAAATCCTAGATGCTTTGAAATATCCCACTTCAGACTGAAGTTTGAACTGTATTAGGCATTGAGTTAAATCTCACTTCCATCGCGGAAGTGAACAGATATCTTGAATAATTTGAAATAGAACAAAGCAGAAGAGTAGTTCAGTCAGTTTATTTGTGTTGAATCATGCATAGACATCCCTAAAATGTGAACAGTTTTTAATTCGAGATAAGTGAACCCATTTTTCAACTTCACAAATTACACAATATTTATGAAGAACAATTAATTTGCATGTCACATGAATTCGCTTCTTACATGTTATCCTAGACATCTTATTGGAAGAAGAAAGGCGAGATGAACCGGATGAAATTGGTGTATTTACTGGTGATTTCATGGTGTCAAAGAAATACTGAAACGTGTTATAAAAAGAACGACAGTACAGGAAAGCCAAAACAAGTCGGCGAACAGACAAAAATGGTTTGAACAATGACAGTATTGTAATGTCGGATATATATACATAAAGAACAAAGGTTGTTGCGAATCAACAGAAACACGAATAAACAAATGTGTTCACTGGTACAGTTGATGATAATAGTGAATTATGTTATTTAACAAATAGTATTTTTCTCAGTAAAAATGAAATTACTACAGAATATTTCAACTTACTGAGAACTAGACGACTATTTTAACCTCATTTGCGATCCATCGTTGTATACCTCAACAATGTCTAGAATTTCAGTCCCTGCATTTGTAAGCTTGTCAGTTTCAAATTAAACTATTAAATAGCTTTTGAAATCATCAATCAATCATTTTTAGACCACCATTAGAAACCTGTAAGCACTGGACGGTCCATCTTGTGCGCGAACACCTAACTTCTGAACCACTGGGTCGGCATCCAACGGTGTTAATGTCTAACTCTGATTGATCTAGGTATTTTGCGCAAACTCACTCATCTGTCTTCGGTCCGAAAGTTAGGCGTTTGCGCAAAAGATCGAAGATCGCGGGTTCCAATTCTGCTAGGTTCAGGAGTCTGGAATGCGCGCCGCTGATGAGTCCCATACCAAGACGAAACGTAGGTTACTGGTTTTCGATCATAGGTGTCTCAGAAACATTGCTCAAGTATCGTGGGATAACCGAGTAAGCGATGCTGCTGTTAGGAAACGTGTGTTAGATAATAAAAGCAGGTCAATAGATGAAGTATTAAAACTTCATCAGTTAAGGTAGTTGGGACATGTGTTACGTATGCCTAACCACCGACTGCCTCGTCGAGCTACGTTTTGCTATGTAGGAATAGGTTGGAAGAAAGCTAGGGGCGGCCAGCCCAGAACATGGCAGAAATCCATGAAGTCACTAACAAGTGAACCGAGTCATGTCGGTAGGTGTCAACTACCTGGTTTAGGCCCTCGAGATGATAATAACCGATGGTTAGAGACCTTGAATGACATGGCTCAAAAGCGTTTGCGATGGCGCAGGTGCATTAACTCTTTGTGTTCTATGAATTTCTAACCTTCTGAGTTCCTCATTACCTCCATCTTTTTCCTTCCAAATGCACCTCACTGAATCATACTTCTTGAATAACATCTTCGTACCCTAATCTCTCGGATTACTTCTAATACTTTTAATCCCACCACTACTTTGAGATTTGAATAGACAATTGTGTCTCTATGTTAATAGGGTAGGGCAACTTGAACTGCTGTACTTACGTGCAAAGTTCTACGTTGCTGTTGATGATGAGACGAAACGGCTGTCCAGTGCTTCCAGGTTTCTAATGGTGTGGTCTAACAATTATTGATTGATGATTTTAAATGTGTAGAAACACTAATCTCCATAACTCTCATTGAAAGTATATTAAACAGCTGTCTGAGTTCCTAATTACAATATTTTAATATTGGGATCAATCAAGCAACTAAATAACTTCATGTTGCCATTACGAAGGAAAACTAACCGGGTGTTTAGAAGAAATACTACATTATTTACTCTGCAGTGCCTCCACATATATTCCAGTTCGCTTACATCTTACTTGATTAAGCCCTTCCGATTAATCTATTTAACCAAGCCATTTGTATTGCAACAATTTAAATGTACCATTCGTTCTTATTATTGTCCAATTTGTATGAGCTCATGTGACTTATCCCACTCGTCATTTGACCTTGTCAACTATTCGTCGCTTTTATTCATGTGTGTGCATGCATATCTCGTTGATCACATTTCTGTCTTATTTTCGTCTGACTATATATTCTTATTCATGCTCTATCTCTTGGAGTTGGCTCATTCGCCTTCTCCTATTCACATCGCTTCATTCGTTTTATTCACTGCTTCTCCGCTTCTCTTTGTGGTGCATCCCAAATAAACGTATTCATCACTTCGAGTTCATCTTCTGACGCTACTTAGTAACGATTGTCTGGACGAGCTGATTACCGCCGAGCTTAAGAACATGAACAAAAATAACACACTACAATCAACTCCTTACTTCTCGAAGTTATCTACTTCATTGACAGCTTATATAGTCTGAAATATTATTGACTTGTAAATTTATATATATATATAGATTTCTTTACTGATCAAATATTTTGTACGAGTAAACTGAGTTGAATGAACTATGTAAAATTAGTCTTTATGATTCATAATGCGGGTCATAGTAAATAAATTAGACTATTTTTTTTTAAATGTGATATCGAGTTTCTTAATAACAATAGTAATACTACTACCACTGCTACTACTACTGATAATAATAATAGTATTAATGAAACTGCATTTGAAAGCTTCAAACATTAAAATACTAATTGAAGTAATGTATCTCTCTCTCTCTTAAAGTAATAAATCAGTAAATAAAACAAATTTTTAATTTTTATTTTTCAAATTCAAATTGTGTACCAAATATACAATCGAACATAAGAAAATAAAAAAACAAACTCAAATCAGATCAAATCAGATCAGATCGATTGATTATCAAAATAAGGTCAGTTGTGTTGTAGGACACTCACTCATCAGGAGGTTAAAATACCAATTAAAATCTTTTTGTAGAAAAAAAAACGAAAAAATTTACGGAAAAAAATTTCAACAACTGAGTTAGTTAATTTTCGAAAATTTATTCAAAATCTTTTCAAACAATGTAGAAGTTTATTTACTTTGAAAGGAACCTAATTACTTAGAAGATTACTTATGCGTATATAGTAGTTATTCTTCAAATTCTATGAATCATGGAAAATGTATCATGGTGGAATGAACGATTATGGAAATCATATGCTGATCATCCGAATTATCTGAAAGACAGTGGACAATCTTCCATAGGAGGTGTACATTATACAAGTCAACAATTCTCAAATACCAAACAATTCCAATCATATAACAGTATACCCACAATGTCAAACATGTCATGTAATATTTCACGTTCAAACAGTGATTTCAATTATCGTAATGTAATAACAAATTTTGATTTGCCTAAAAATACTACCACCATTCCAAATACTACAACCACTTCAAAATTATCTAATTCACAATTAATTGGTAATAATTTACTACAACAAATTTGTCCTAGACATGTAATGAATAATTTGAATTCGATTTATGGTGGCAATAGAAGTCGTCCATTAGGTTCATTACGTGTTTACTATTTGACAAGACCACATTCAGCAGCTATATTTGGCCGATCAACATCACTACAACGAACAACAACACAAGATACACAGAATACAAAATCTTCTCCATTATCGACACGAAGACCAACTAATATTGATTTATGTTTTTCAAAAGATAATTCATTTTCCACTTTACTGCCTAGCACAACTTCATCCTATGTGAAACGATCAAATTCCATTGATTGTAGTGGTAAAATATGTCAATTGCATCGGCGATCTTCCACACCATCCATAAATGATAACGTCAATAAACAAATGCCCAATTCTAATTTAGGTAATCGTAAGAAATCAGCCACAAAAACACGTAGTTCACTAGTGGATACACTACAACATACACCTCAACCACCTCGTAGAGTTTTTTCCGCCTATGGAAGTGACAAAACACTTAGATATGGAAATAGATTCACAAACACATACAATACAGATAATGATCAGCAGACAGAACAAAGTCTCATACAAAATGTCTGCGAAGATCCATTACAGAAATCTTTAACATTTACTAGTACAAATGAATTTCTATCATTAAAAAGTGCAAGAAAACTGAACAATGAACTACCATGCAATCCGAATAATCCACATGTTGTTACAATTGCTCAGAATAATAAACAATTAGCGAAAACATCCATGTTAACTGTAACTCCTGTCAATGTTCAAGATATTAAATTTTTCAAATCTTCCGCAACTCTGAAAAAATCAAACAAACCAAAATATAAATCTGAACAAATCAAATCGTCTATAGAAAAACCTGATACAACTTTAATGACTACGTTTGGTAGTATTGACCGAAATCCGGACAAGCATATCTTAACAACAGATGATCATACAGGTGAACTGGAATATAATGTATCAAGTCTTATAGAAAGCGAAATTCCTGTAACAAAACAATCCGCTGATGTTATTACAACTGAAAATGTCAACACCAATAACACGAACAATTTAGAAGGTGAATCTTTTGAAAAAGCATGCCAAGAAATCACTGAACTAACACCAAATACAATGATCACATCTATAGACAATCAAACAAACTCTAATTTACCATTACAGAATGATTTAACATATTTACCTAAGTCACCCGAGTGTACAAAAACAACTTCTAACTTTCTAATGTTTGATGATCAGATATCAGTTGTATTTAAAAATTCAGATTGTCAAGAATATCAATCAATTGATGAACCATGCAACTTACAAGACCTTCATTTAGAAGAAACTTTACAATCTAAATTGATTTTATGCGAGAATGACCAGTCATTGTCAAATTCAACACTTGAATTATTGGAAGAATGTAGTGTAGAACAGAATGATGAAAGTCAACCTGTGAATATCTTTAATGAAACTATTCCAAATACGCCAAGTGTTGTAGATAAATCCATAATTTCAGAAGATGAATGTAGTGAAATATTATCCATTAAGAATTATCCTGACCAAATACAGTCATCCATCCTAGATGATGAATTTGAAAAATCATCTGCACACAATGAATCATCCAATCAATGTTTATCGATCGTAAAATCAAACGACCCTGAACAACCACCATATACATTTTCTCCAATCACTCAAAATAATCTCACCTATATGAATGAAAACATATCACATTGTAATTCAGGGATGACGAATTCATTTCCTATTAAATCAATACTTAAACGTTCGAAAAATTTTATAAGATCACAACAAACAGAGAACAATACATTGAATAAAACACTGAGCACAACACATTCAAACACTCAAACACTCAATAAAACCACTATGACTGGTTTAACATTTCATAATAATATTAATCAGGCAATCTATTCAAAAAGACCATTTTCAGCGAATTCTTGGAAATCAGACTTATCAAATATTATTTCTAACAATGGGATTCGAACTGTTGTCGGTGGTGGTGGTTTTCACACCAATATCATCAATACACCTGCAACGAATACACTAAGACCAAAATCATCTACATTAAAAAGTAAACTTTTTATTGACACAAAAGATAGAATCACGTCAAATCGTTCCAATAGACCCGGTGTACGTTTTGACATAAAAAATAACTCGATCCTTGAATTCTATCCATATGATATCATTAATAAATCATAAATAATGACCAATGTTTAAATCGCCACAGAAAAAAAAAACAAACTCAAAATTACCTTTTTTATTTTTGTAAACAATCATCCAATTCAATGATTCAAAGCCATAAAAACAATTGAACATTTAACAGAACAGTTTCAAGAAAAGTTGAATCATGTAATTGTCATGCCTTTTTGTCAAATAGCTCCTTTGTTTATGTCGATATCATTCAATTTTCATGTATATGCTTGGTTATGATCAATGGTTTCTTTTTGTTTTAATGATGATGATGATGATAGGTATGATCCATACTAGCAGATTATTGATTAATCTAGATTTGTAAATATGTGTTTTTTTTTTACTTTATGTATTCTTGAATTCAAATACTATCATGATTATAAACAATGTTGTGAACTATAGAAATGTTCATTGTGTTTTGTTGTGTTTTAACAGACAGACCTATTCTATTAAATAAAAGATTTAATTTATTAATTAGATTTAAAAAGTTATTCAAAATGTTTATTTATGCTCAATTCAAACATCAATGTCATTCGGTTGGCAAATTTTATGTTTGTTTAATCTTTTAGTGATGAGGAAATTGTCTTGATTCAGTTATTAGTAAGCTTGTACAATGTTTAGATGTAAGTTGGTGGTTGATGAAAGTCTATGAGAAGCTCTCAGTTTAGGTGTCCTCACTCTTCAGTAAGATTTAGTTGAAATCTTGAGTAAACCAGTGCTTCTTGATGAACTGGATATCTAGTTACTTAAACTAGTGGCTAGTCACATATAAAACTGCTCAGTAATCAATCATTTATCAAGACCTTAGTCTTGCAAGTGATCAGTCACATATTGAACAGCCCAATGGTACCGCCTTAGATTATTATGATAAGTGAAACAGTATAAAGTCCTCCAGGAGGTACCGGTTCCGTAAGTATTACAGATACACTACGTTGAAGACTGCCGAATAACTAGAAACCCAAATCTAGGGATATTTTCTGGCTACCCCCAACTACACGACAGCATTATTTTAAATCTGAATTAGGTTTGTAAATATAGAATAGGGAAAATTGTAATTTGCCTAAATTTGAGTAATCTGGAATGTTAATAAAACAATCATAAATACTTTTTGACGCCATGATTAAAATCTTCTGGCTGTACACAATTCACTTTTCAACCTCATTTTGTACATCGAAAAATGCGTATCTTTTAATGCAGTTGCTGGAAATTATTTTTTAAATTCGAGTTATAGAGATTAGTCATTGTTAAACCAAAATTAAAAACCTGAATGCACTGAAATACGGCCATTCCGTCCTGGTATGGGACTCATCAGTGGCAGTGCGCATATACGACTCCTACCACTCATAGGTCTCGAACACAGGACCTTCGGTCTTGTGTGCGAACAACCAACCTCTACACCACTAGGCGTGTAACCAACGATATCATTGTCTAACTCTAATCAATCTAAGGATTTTAAGCTACCAAACTCATTTGTCTACGGTAGTTATTGCCTGCACGCAACATATTTGAACTCCACTGGTCACGTCTTCTCAACAGAACTAAGAGAATTTCCAAACGAAGCTAGAAATCATGCAATGTAATCGGTTAATTAGATCTAGTATAAAGCAGCTAATCATGATGAGAATCCAAGTTTTTTTCATTTTGAGAAACCGTTTCAAACTGCCCTTGGATTTTTCATGAAGGTATTCTCTGAGGATGCCTGTGTATTTATTCTTTTGCATATGTGTTATTCAGTCATGATCAATCTCTGAAAAGTTATCGTAGATTCTTCTAGAGTCAATAAGAATGATATTCGCTAATCATTAGTTATTTCTAATACATGTGTAATATAAACTCATATATCTGATTACTTTTACATGCTTAATCTGATACTGTGTAGAGAGCTAGACATATTGATCAAACATGATACATTGTGGTGGCCGATTTCGACGTATTCTTAATCTTCGTGATTAGCTCGTCCAGACAACCGTTACTAAATAGCGTCTGACAGTTTATAAATCAGAAGATGAACTCGAAGTGATGAATAGGCTTATTTTTGACGCAGCACAAATAGAACAGCAGACTACAAGCGCTTAAAGATAAAATCGTCATTTGAGCGCCGGAAAGCAAGCAAGTGAGTGAATAGGCGAATGAACGGATGAAACGATGTGAAGAAGGCTAGTGAGCCAACTCAAAGAGATAAAGCATGACTAAGAATATATAGTCAGACAAATATAAGACGGACATGTGATCAACGAGATAGGCATGCACACACATGAATAAAAGTGACGAATAGTTGACAAGGTCAAATGACAAGTGGAACACGTCCCGTGAGCTCATACAAATCGGACAATAATAAGAATGAATGGTAAATATAAATTGTTGCAATACAAATGGCTTGGTTAAATAAATTATCTGAAAGGGCTTAACCAAACTAAATATAAGAGAACCTGAATATATTTGGAATGACCGGAAAAATTATTTTGAAATCATGAATGGATCATTGTTAAATCACCATTAAAAACCTAGAAGCACTGGACGGCCGCTTCATCCATGTATGGGAATACTCATCAGCAGTGTGCATCCTCGGACTCCTGCCTCTCACAGGATTCGATTCAGGATTTCAATTGTGTAACTTAACAATTTTCAAAACCCCATAATGAAAAAAATTATTTTGTGCACTGTTGACCACTTACTTGTTCAATGAATCAATATTTTCATTGAAATAAAATATGTGACTTTAAGTATGAACTAAGTTTAAAAATACCATTTTAATTTTTAAATTGTAAAGTCATTGTTTCAGGTCAGCTAGTAGTATTTGAATAATACGTTCTTCAATCTTTACATAATAATTTCTGCTTACTTTACAAAAATTTCTTAATTGAAACAGAAAATAGTTTTCATCAAATAGATTGATTTACTTAAAATAAAGAATCAAACTTTCTGTATTGATTTGTTTTAAAATTCGACATCATATCAGTTGTATACCTTATTTCGTTGTAACGCAAGTGACAGTTCAACTGTTATATTATGTTGCTTAAGAACTGGATGAATATTTCGATACACCATAAACCTGCGAAAACTGAATAGTTGCCTTGTGTTAGTTCGAAGCTTCTCAGTATTTTTTTGCAGTTATGAACGGAAACACAACTTACTGCAGACAACAACTGATTATTATTAAATATCCTAGTATAAGGTATTTGAATCTTCGAAGAGAAGCTTTAATCAGTCAATTTCCATCACTTCAATAGTGAGATGACTATCAAAAAGACTGCTGAGTTCTATCTCCTGTGAACTTTTGGGTGGGGACTGTGCAACAGTTCCAAAATAAGGAATATCACTTGTCCAATATAACTTGATATATGCGGGTTCTTGAATTTATGCTTATTAGCATTAAAAACTGACCTTGTATCATGCGGTACTCATAATTTAAGGCTAATGAATGATGGGCAGTAGTTATTTATTCAAAATATCAGAAGAGAGGATTAAAGTTCTGTTTCCTAAACGAGACAATAAAAGCTATAAAGTGAAATTTACTTCATCATAAGGTTTAACAACAGTTTAACTGTTATTTGCTACATCAGTAATCCAATGATCCAAGCAATCAGTAGGAAGAAACATTGTTACAGTCCCATGAACAATATTCAAACAAAGTACGTATTTAAATTAATAGAATATCAGATGTTAGTTTCCATATCAGTAACAACTTACAGTGGGAGAGAACAAACCAGACAAGACAAGCCCTCACATGGAACCTCAAGGTCAAAGAAAAAGAGGAAGGCCGAGGAACACATTACGCAGAGAAACAAAGAAAGTCATGAGAAGAATGAACAAAAACTTTAAAGAACTATAAAGGGAAGCCCAGGACAGAGTTGCTTGAAGAAAACTGGTGGGCGGCCTATGTTCCATCGGGATTAACAGGCGTAAGTAAGTAAAGTTTCCATATTATATATATATGGATATATTTTGCATTAGAGTGCTGTGCAGGTCGTAGTTTTACTCTGAATTCATGAATGAATGATTGTTATACCAACATTAAACACCTAGAAGCACTAAAAGATGGCCGTTTCATCCTGGTGTAGGACTCATCAGTAGCAATGCTCATCCATGACTCCTGCTTCTTGCAGAGATCGAAACCAGGACCTTTGTGAGCAAACGCCTAACTTCTTAACCACTGAGCATATTAGGCGTTCGCGCTCAAGACCCCAAGGTCTTGGTTTCGAATACTATGAGTAGCAGTGAACAGTAAGCTGATGAGTCCCATTGCTTCCCAATTTATAATGGTGGTCTAACAATGATACTTTCATACTTTAAAAGAGAAATGATTTATGGTTTCAGATTGTACAAACTTCATTATAAATGTACACAGTTTTAAATAAGCCTAGTGTCTGCATCATTTAAAATATTGTGTCTTACATATAAGTGCTTAGCGCTTAGCTAACATGAAGCTTTATCAGCTTGGAAAGCCGTTAGCTAGATCTAATCATCAAATTCATCAAGCATGTTATGTTTGGTTTTTGGTACTTGGTAAATGCATATATTACACTTATACCATAGTTCTTACTACAGAATAAACCAATCATTCACTATATTTCGCTTCACACACTACATACCTCATGCTACAAATAACTGATAGATTAAATTTCTATGAATAAACTTTAAGTTTATGAAATAGACTTGAAATAACCACAGTAAAATGAGAAAAAACTTGGTAAATATACATTGATTGATATGATGATATGAACTTCAGATTCAGAATTTGAGTCTTTCTTCAATTTACCAATCACTTTAAGTTCAATATCATGGAGAATGTGTATTCAGTTCAAGTATGTTGACTTATAGTTAAACTTCGGTAATAATAGTGATGATCTCACAGCTATTTTATACCTTCATTGAGGGGTTGTGAAGTTACACATTTTATATGTCCCATATCAGGACGAAAAGCCCGTCCAGTGCTTCTAGGTTTCTAATGGTGTTCTATCATTGATCAGTTCATGATTTCAAATGTTTTTTGTACTTTGTCTAAACAG